TCCAACTGTGTCAAAGCAAGTGCGTCACAGCCGGTGCAGTGTACTGCGCATCAAGTCCGGACAACGGATTCGCTTGGGCCCAGGATGTATGGGCGATGTACGAGCTCAAGTCGTCATCTGTGTCCCAACTCAGTCTCAACACAATCCGAAAGAAGCAGGAGCAAGGGTGTTCCTTGCCGAGCTCTCGCGTCACAAACTTCCAAGTTGCGCTCTGCCAGCAAAATCGTCATTCCTCAACCAAGACCGAACTACATGGGGGCAACAGCCGTGTTGGTGTCCGCTGTGCCAGTGGGGAGCGAGGCGGGGTAGTTAGATGACGGACACTGCCAAATAGGAAATGGCTTGAGCTCGCCTGCTCTGTGCCCCGATATTATAATGGACATATTGTCCACGAACGTGCTGATATCTCGTGGAGGTCGGCCCCCAGCTTGCTGCGGTCCTGGACTGCCATGCTGCCGTTGATTTTTTATGTAAAACGAATCGGTCCAAATCTCCCTGTCTGGGAACCAATTCTGGGCCGCTACAAGGCTGACGTCGCCACGTCATCGACCTGAACAGCCACCAATGGCCACGCGGCGTCGGATCCGACTTGTTTCGTCCAATGCCGCGCTGTTATACTTGAAGTTTGTATGCAACGAAGATGAACGTGCTTGTCTCGCTTCCAAAATGGCGTCACATTGACCGTCTCTGTCAATGGCAAGAAGACAACGTGTGCACACTGGAAATTGCTGCACGACAGAATCCTCCAGTTTTCTTATTTATCGGGCAGCACGGCGTCGGAAGCGCGCAGCTCTTGATTGTCGGTGAGCATGTCCAGGACGCACTGCGCCTTGTCTTGGATGCCAGCGTGCTCGGTGAAGCATGCCATGGCGGCTTCACACACCTCGATAGCCCCTAGTTTGCACACATGACGATATTGTACACAGAAAAAACGATAAACCCTCTTGGATCGCAAAGTCTTGCAGCGTTTCGACACCCGAGACGAGGTTCAGTAGCGCCCACACGCCGTAATACTGCACGGACGCGATGCTCGGGCAGTTGAGCATCGCCGCCAGAATCGCGCCGATGCCGCCACGCGCAGCAATGTGTTCGCACATAAAATCTATGCATCAAGTACATCGATACGAACAGAGCCATGGTACCATACCGGAGCCCGCGAGGGAGATGAGGGCCCAGCATGCACTCTCCTGCAAGGATGCTTCTTTCGGAAACGCTTGCATGGCGTCGAGAATACGCTCGAGACCGCCCTTCTCTAAGATCTTGCGGCGGTTCCCCTCTAGGCATTGCTGCGTCGGCGACCATTTTAAGACAAAGGGACGCGGTACCGCAGTTGTGCGCCAGGTTGGTCAGCGTCGTGCAGCTGCTTTGCTGGAGCGATAGGCTGTGCGGGAAACCTGCCATGGCCAGCAGTAGCGAGTCCAGCGCGCCTTCGCTCACGAGTCGAATACGGTTGACGTCGTGGTTGAAAGCTGCGACGCCAAACAATCGAGCGAGTGCAATTTGCGTCGCCTCGAGCGTGCTCTGATGCTGCGCAATGCGGACAAGCGCCGGGAACCCACACAAATCGCCAAGCTCGTTCTTGTGGACGACTACGTGCACCGTCCAACGTCGATAGGTGACAATCGAAAGCAACTCTTGTACCGTGGGCTTCGCAGAGCACATGAAGCTTCTTGAGAACCGCGGCCACGACCGCAGCGCTGTCCTGAAACGTGTTCAAGACGCTCACGAGCTGTTTTAACCCGCCAAGGGCAAAGGCGTCGGCGGCGACGTCATGTGGTGGCTTTTGGCGCTGCGCTTCTTCCACGAGCCGCTGCTTCTCGGCTTTCTCACGCTCTCGCGTGGCGTCGTGGTCTTTGCAGTAGCCCGACGGCTGGATCAAGAAAGGCGGCGCGTCGCAGTTCAAGTCCAGACACCGCCGTGTTTTTCGCGCCATTTCTACACCCCTTTTCGTATGATGCAAGTATCGTACGATGCCACTTCTGACCTTCGTCGTGGCGCTGCTGCAGCTCACGCGAGAGCTGGTGCTGCACATCGGCGTGAGCGCGCTGAAGGTCTCGGTAGGCATCGAGGCTCGCTTCGAGGTCGTGAGCTTGCCGTGCGAACCGGTCGGCCCAGTCGTTGCTTGTCGCGGTGGCGGCTGCCGTCGCCGCCTCGGCCTGCGCCACCGCACACTGGAGATCGGCGACGCGGACATCGAGTGCCTAAGCGTGTACTCCATCGTGGTACGTTGGATTAGGATGGAGAGGCATCGCACCTGTTCCCGCGCGCGACTCGCGACGAGCTCGTCTTGAAGTGCCGTCGCATCGAGCTTGAGTGCGACCATCTACAATACGATCCATGCGAGCTGACCGAGGCGAAGGAAACGGACCTCGCGTGTGAGCGTCTGAATGCG